TATAGGATTTATTTTTCTTTGTTTTTACAGCCAAAGAAGCCTAAAGCCCCAGACAATCCATTTCATGGCATTGTTTCCAAGTGTTTTGAGCCTCATCTCTACGTGTATATCGAATCCCAAGACAAGTGAGTGAGGAGCATTCGCTGTTTTCTGCCTGCATTTCTCGCCGCTCTGGTCATGACTGGGTCTCAGAAGCACACAGCTCCTTCCGGGGCTGAAAGACGGATGTGGCACGCCTGTGACCCTCCCTAGAAACCCATCAGGGATATTTTTACATCTTTTGAATGTTATCATTAATTGTGTCTATAAATCTCAGGGCCTGAGTTTGCCCCTAATAAGGTCCCCAGTGGCTCCCTACATTGGGATCGCTCCCCATGTGGGTGTATTGAGCCCTGACATATGTCAGCCCACACAGCTTTACAGTGTCAGGCACTGGGTATTGGAAGAAAGCCTAATCTCCAATGTATATGTTTTCAAGTATAATTCAACCTTTCATTTTGAAATAATTTAGACTTACAAAAAAGTTACAAAAATAGGACAAAAAATTCTCACATGCCCTCCTCAGAGAATGTTAACATCTTACATAACAACCACAGTTAACAAAATCAAGAAGGTAATACTGTCCCATTAATTTCCCTTTTTCTGGTCCAGGACCCAATAATCATGCATTTCATTGTCAGACCTCTTTGGTCTTGGTCTCCTTTAATCTTGAGTAGTTCCTCATCTTTTTCCCTCCCCTCCCCTCCTCTCCTTTTTTGAGACAGGGTCTCATGCTGTCCCCAGGCTGGAGTACACTGGTGAGATTATGACTTACTGCATCCTCCATCTCCTGGGCTCAAGCAGTCCTCCCACCTCAGTCTCCCAAGTAGCTGGGACCACAGGTGCACGCCACCCCGCCCAGTTAATTTTTCTATTTTTAGTAGAGATGCGGTCTTCCTGTGTTGCCCAGGCTAGTCTCGAACTCCTGGGCTCAAATGATCACCCACTTCAGCCTCCCAAAGTGCTGAGATTACAGGTGTGAGCCACCTCGCCCAGCCATTCCTCATGTTTTCTTTGTCTTTCACAGCCTCAGTGCGTACTGGCCAGGTATTTTGTACAATGTCCTTAGTTTTTGTTTTTTTCTTGATTAAATCCATTTTGGGCAAGAATGCCATAAAAGTGGCATTGTATCCCCAGTGCATTGTGTCAAGAGGCACATCACATTGATTTGTCCCATTATTGCTGACACTTTGATTACTTGCTTTAGGTGGTACCTGCCAACTGTCTTCACTGTGAAGTTGCTATTTTTCTCCTGGTGATTAATAAGTATCTTATGGGAAGATATTATGTAAACATCCTGCTCTCATCAAACTTTTGCCCACTCATTTTTGCATCCCTTCATGATTGATTCCTGACTGAAGCATTGTTTCTGTGGCATTTGCCAAATGTTGATTGACTATTTTCATCATTTCTTCTATAGTTACTAATTGGAGTTCTACTATATGGAAGACTTTTTCCTCTTCCCCATTTGTTTGTATATCAGTATGAACTCATGGACTCTGATTTTATTTTATGGATCATCTGTATAATAGAGTATATGCTTTTCATATGGCCAGGTACAGTGGGTTGCACCTGTAATCCCAGCACTTTGGGAGGCCAAGGTAGGAGGAGTTCTCAAGCCCAGGATTTGAGACCTGCCTGGACAACATGGTGAAACCTCATCTTTATAAATACTTTTTTTTTTAATTAGTCAGGTGTGGTGGTGCACACCTGTAGTCCCAGCTACTTGAACGGCTGAGGTGGGAAAATCACTGGAGCCCAGGAGGTGGAGGCTACAATGAGCCGTTACTATGCCACCCAGCTGGATGACAGAGACTTTGTCTCAAAAAAAAGCAAACAAAATACAGTATATGCTTTTCACAAACGTGTAGCCTCCAAAGATTTTTATAAAGCATCTCACTGCGGCCAGGTTCCTTCCCTCCCACCCTGTTTTTAAAAAAATCCCAAAGACTTCCAAACTAACAGCTGAAGACTGTGTTCGTGCTCCAGTGTCTGTTGTGTGCGTGAGGGGGCATTAGAAAAGGAGGAAGACGCCTAACCCCTGAGTCCTTGTCCACAGCCAGAGGAACTGTAGAAAGCCCTTCCACGTTGGAAGGCAGGTTTTGGAAAGGTCAAGATGACTTGTGACAAGATGACTGGAGACAAAGATGACTGGAGACAGACTGGCCTGGGCTCCCAGAGGAAGCCTCATAGTCTAAAGAACGCACTTGGAAGGGACCAGAAGGTGGTTCCCATGGGGAGAGCAACAGCGGCTGTGGGAAAGTCCTGAGGGAGGTTCTTCAGGAACACATTGAGGTTCTGAGGGAGGTTCTCTGGGAACGCATTGAGGTTCTGAGGGAGGTTCTCTGGGAACGCATTAGGTACTGAAGGAAGTTATCTGGGAATACATTAGGTCCTGAGGGAGGTTCCCTGGGAACTCATTAGGTACTGAGGGAAGTTCTCTGGGAACACATTGAGGTTCTGAGGGAGGTTCTCTGGGAATGCATTAGGTTCTGAGGGAGGTTCTCTGGGAGCAGATTGAGGTTCTGAAGGAGGTTCTTGGGGAATGCACTGAGGTCCTGAGGGAAGTTCTCTGGCAACGCATTAGGTTCTGAGGGAGGTTCTATGGGAACCTATTAGGTTCTGAGGGAGGTTCTCTGGGAATGCATTGAGGTTCTGAGGGAGGTTCTCTGGGAACGCATTAGGTCCTGGGGCAAGTTCTCTGGGAACACATTAGGTTCTGAGGGAAGTTCTCTGGGAACACATTAGGTCTTGAGGGAAGGTCTCTGGTAATGCATTAGGTTCTGAGGGAAGTCCTCTGGGAACGCATTGAGGTTCTGAGTGAAGTTCTTTGGGAACACACTGAGGTTCCGAAGGAGGTTCTCTGGGAACGCACTGAGGTTCTGAGGGAGGTTCTCTGGGAACACATTAGGTTCTGAGGGAGGTTCTCTGGGAATGCATTGAGGTCCTGAGGGAAGTTCACTGGGAACGCATTAGGTTGTGAGGGAATTTCTCTGGGAACACATTAGGTTGTGAGGGAAGTTCTCTAGGAACGCATTAGGTTCTGAGGGAGGTTCTCTGGGAACACATTAGGTCCTGAGAGAAGTTCTCTGGGAATGCATTGAGATTCTGAGGGAGGTTCTCTGGGAATGCATTAGGTTCTGAGGGAAGTTCTCTGGGAATGCATTGAGATTCTGAGGGGGTTATCTCAGAACGCATTAGGTTCTGAAGGAGGTTCTCTGGGAACATACTGAGGTTCTGAGGGAAGTTCTGTGGGAAGGCATTAGGTCCTGAGGGAGTTTCTCTGGGAACGCACTAGGTTCTAAGGGAGGGAAGTTCTCTGGGAATGCATTAGGTCCTGAAAGAAGTTCTCTGGGAACCCACTAGGTTCTGAGGGAAGTTGTCTGAGAACGCGCTGAGATTCTGAGGGAGGTTATCTCGGAACGCGTTAGGTTCTGAGGGAGGTTCTCTGGGACCGCATTGAGTTCTGAGGGAGGTACTCTGGAAACACATTGGGTTCTAAGGGAGGTTCTCTGGGAACACATTTGAGGTTCTGCGGGAAGTTCTCTGGGAACGTATTAGGTCCTGAGGGAGGTTCTCTGGTAACGCATTAGGTCCCTGAGGGAAGTTCTCTGGGAACGCATTAGGTTGTGAGGAAAGGTCTCTGGGAATACATTAGGTTCTGAGGGAGGTTCTCTGGGAACGCATTGAGGTCCTAAGGGTTCTAAGGGAGTTTCTCTGGGAATGCGTTGAGGTCTTGAAAGTCTCAACGCGTTG